CCTCCCCTCCTAGCCATGCCCCTGGTTTCTGGTAGCCCAGCTGGCCAGATCCAGCCCATGGGCTGGATGCTTGACACCCCTGATCTAAGAGCTTCTATTTGCTTCTGTGAAGCTAGGTACAGAAGTGTTAGCAGGCCTCTAGGATTCACCACTTCATGCTTCTATAAACAGGATCCTAAACCAACTATTAATTTTCACAGAATGTGTCCAGGTAGGATTGCTTAGTCCAAAGATGTTTTTTAAAATAATACTATAGGAAAATACAGTTTTGGTTTCATCAACGGCAGGCAGTTCAACCACAGCCCCATGTCCTTGCAGAGAGCACTATATGGACAGATCCATGCATTTCCACCAAACATGGTGGTGGGGTGATCTGTGAAGAGCTTGAAGGCAACCTGTAAGACCAGGGACCCAGTTTGAAACCTAGTTGTGCTTAGGTCACTGTTAAAACATGGATTTTTTTTTTTCCACCTTGAGCTGAGTGAAGGGGCTGTGAAGGAGTAAACACCTAGACCTCTCTTGAAACTGCCTTTCATGTGAGACCTTGTCATTACTTGTCAAGCAATTTGCAGATGAGCTGTCATATACTTCCCCATTGCAGAAGCTATAAAAGAGACTTGGGAATGAAAAGAGAGAATTTCTAAAGAGAAGCATTCCCCCAGCCCCATCCTTTCCATCAGATGCAACATGGCAGGAATATTTGCATGAGAGCAAAGAGAAAATGTTTGTGTTTTTGTTTGCCTTCGCTCACAAAGCCTTTTTGAAACCTTTAGCTCTTGTGTGTGTAAGTATCATCTATGTTAACAGTCCAACATGTGTGATAGTCATGGGTATTTCACATCTCAGCTGCTGCAAGGTAGCCAGAATGCTTTTTCTGTGGAGGGTGCAATGGCCCTGATAATTGTTATCAGTTTTACACTTCAAAGAGAAATGTCACAGTGGGGGAAAGGAGTGCCTAATTTGTACAAAATGAACTATTCTAATCAGGCGAACTTACAACACCTTCAGCTCTCCTGTGAAATATGAATTTTCATTTCTACCTAGGAGAAATTTTACAATCTTTGCATTCTCCTATGCCTGAGGAAGGGCAGGTGTGCCCAAAAGCTTGCAGCTAATTGTGGGGGGGCAAATATCTAGTTGGTCTAATAAAAGATATCACCTCTGCCATGTGTTCTGATTCCTTTTGCCTGTAGACCAGTACGGCTACAACCTGTATCCCTGAAGCGGGGCGGGGGGAGAGAAACCACCCAGATGCATAGTTACTTGAAAAATCTGGCTTAAGTGTCTTTTAAGAGTCTGGACCAAAATCCCTAATGGCCACTCTTCATTAGTCAGGTTGTAGAAATAGAGCTAGAGACAAGGATGATGAAAGAGAGATGTATGTATTGAGAGATGCATATATGAGCCTAGCTACCAACCCTTAAATCCCATAGGAAATCTAAAGAGGGGACTTCCCTTTCAATGAAAAATCCCAGGTAGGATTTAGCACACAGCAGCGTAATCAGCTTAGCTGGTTGAATATCTTGGTATTAAAGCCAAATTACTGTGTGTTATCTGTAAGTTACATCCACAGTCACTGGTGCTTCCTCTTTTAGATCTGACTGTTATATGCAGTAGTTAATCTGCTTCTTTCCCTCTTTGGTCTCCCCACACAGAGATTTTAAAAACACACCTCTGGTGTGCAGAGGCCAGCTGCTTCAAAGCTAGTAGCTTGTGTGCTTTTATCAGAACTAAGAGCCACACACCCATGGGCCTGAAACTTTTTAATGAAATAGGATTCAGCGGGGTGAATGAAGTTCCTGTTGCCCTTACAGGTATCTTTGCGCTCAAGTTTATGCTTCACTCCATCATCTGCTCATAAAATAATAAATGAAAAAAATAGCGATGGTCCCAGTGAACTGAAACAAAAGGCAAAACAAGTGGGGACTTTTCTGAGTGAAGACTTGTGAGCCTGGCTTTCCCTTTGGCTGTGTGACAAAGGGAAGGGCGGTCAAGGAAGTGAGCGGGTCAGCGTCAGGCAGTGTCTTGCTGTTTCTGAGAGAACAACAGGCTTTTGTGTTCACCCTGTCTCTTCAACATTGTGCTTTTAGTTAGTCCCACTGGAAGGTGCTTCCCACATCTTAGTCATAATAGCGTAGTTCCAGCTTCATCTGGGAAGCCCCTGCTGTAAGTCAGCAGTTTCTGTTCTTAACTGCAACTGAAACATAAGGAAAAGTATTGGGGAGGTTGTTCCAGCCTATATCTCTGAAATCAATAGCCCAGTTGTGCCACATGGTATCAGTCTCTGCTGTAGACTTCAACTAATCTGTAGGCAATAATGAATGACTTGATAAGTACTTCCCAACACAGCTTTTTCTAGTCTTCAAACTTCAGTGTATTTCATGGTAGTTCTCAGAGCAGACTTCACAAGCAAGAGTTGAGCTACTTTAGTGAAAGATCTCATGGCATTTTTAGTACATAAGAGGTCACAACATGTGTTCCCTCTCAAAGCAAAAATTCCTTGAAAATGTCAATATTAATTCTGTTTAAAATAGGGCTGACTTAGAATTGTCCCTAAATTTTTGTTCAGAAACGCTCTTTTCTTTCAGCATTCAGTGTCTTATATTGTTTTCTTTTTGAGCATATGGTCTAAATCAGCCTGTAGCTTTTTTTTTTAATGTTTTTTGCTTCTTAAATTATTATTTTTTTAAAGTAAAGTTACTCTACTAAAATTATTCTCTGTTAAGGGGAGGGGAGGGGAGGGAAGTATGGCTCAGATGTAGAGAGCAGAGTGGATTGAGGGCTAAATCACGAACTTCACTTCTGATTTGTGACCGGCTCAAAAAGCATCTACCCTGCATAGGACACTGCTATGTAGAGAGATCCAGTCGAGAAATCATTAAGTTGCATTTACCTGCAGTTCCCCTATCTGCAAAGAGGGGATGATGCTTATCCATCTCAGGGGCATGTTTGGGATTTGCACTTTACTCTGAGTGTAAGAACCACCCTGCATGCTATGTTATGTTATCATTGCAGTAGATGCAGACCAGGAGGAGGGGAGCCAAGGAAAAGGCTCCTTTCCTTGCCAAGACCAGGGTCACCTCCATCTTGAGAAGGTGTGTGGAGCACTTGCTCCCTTTCTCCCAGAGTGAGAGGTGACGGTGAGCAGCAGCCACCTCTTTCCCCAGCAGCCACCTCTTTCCGTTCCTCTTCCCCAAACCAAGCAGTCCCTAGTTTCAGGAGGAGGTTAAAGGCTTTGTTAACCCCTGCAAGCTTCCCCTTCCTGCCCCTGCCACACAGCTAAGCAGCAGGGTGGTGATTTAAAGGTGGTGGTCGGGAGCAGGGCTTGAGGAAAGCTTCTCCGACCCTGCTTCTGGCTCCCCTTTGCCTCCCCACCACCCAGCTGGGCCTTGAGGGTCAAGGGGAGCCAGGTGCTGGACTGGGAAAAGCCCCTACACCCCCAGCTCCTGGCCCCTCCAGCTTTAAATTGCCACCCCCATCACTCAGCTGAGTGGCAGAGGAGCAAGTGGAAGCCAGAAGAGCTGGGCATGCAGAAGCTTTCCCCAGCCTGGCTCCCAGCTCCTTCAGCTTCTGCTTGCAGCTTGCGCTGACCCAGCACAGAGCAGTGAGGCCTGCTGCTGTGCTCCTGAGCCTGGCCACCTGGGTAAAATGCCCCTGCCTCACTCCAGACTGCTGTGGGTCAGCTCAGAGCAGCACAGGATGAGCTTCTTTGAGAGGGAACACATGCTTTGGGAGGGAATTGCTGCTTTGAGAAGGAACGCATGTTGTGACCTCTTATGTACTAAATGCCATGAGATCTTTCACTAAAGTAGCTCCTCAATTCTTGCTTGTGAAGTCTGCTCTGAGAACTGCCATGAAATGCACTGAAGTTTGAAGACTAGAAAAAGCTGTGTCACACTCCCTTCACTCCTCCAGGTTAGTCTGGAGGAGTGCAAGGTGTAGGGCTGTTCTCCAGAGCGGGAGAACCGCAAGGGTTTCCACCATGGGAGAGTGCCCCTCTCTTGCCAGTCACCTGATTGGTGGGATGTTGTAGAGGGGGAAGCTGAAACCCTCCTGAGCTGCTGCCAACAGATGTTTTTCAGCAGCCGCCAACTGCCACTCAATAGCCTACCTCCTTCCCAGGCAGGGGAGAGGGCAGGGTATCAATTATGGGCTCCCCTAATTGTGGGGTGCCCCAGCAAGCAGCCCTCTAGTATCCCCTGGCTGGAGAGCTTGCCTGTGAAGTTCTCCAACCGTTAGGTTGAAACAGTAGTTCTTACTCTTTCTGGACTTGAGGCACCCTTCTGTGGACTCTAGGCACCCCTCTATAACTTGTGTAAATTGAGTGGCACCCAGGTTCAAAGACTAATTTATATACAACAGTGTTTACCTCCTAGCACAGGTGCTGGGCAGTATAGGGGTGGGGATCATCCAGGCAGGAACAAGCTTGGCTTATCTGCCTATCTCCTCACACTTTGCAGTATCTTTTAAAGCATCTGGTGGCACCCCTGGGTGCCCTGCCACCCTGGTTGAGTATCAGTGGGCTGAAGAAACATCTGTACAGACAAGCTTCCAAGCTAACTTTCTGCCAGAAGAAACTTTGTCTATTAGAAATGAACATCTGCACGTAACCTCTTTCTAAGATAAACATATCAGTGGGCTGTTTTTTATCATTCCTTTTGACTTCTGCGCACTGCCTGGCCAGTCTTGTTATGGTGTCTGAAACATATTAGACGAAATCCTGGCACCACTGAAGTCTGTGTTGGTGCTTACTATTTTCTTTGAAAACCATAGACTTGAACCACAAAGCAAATCTTTAGGACGAGTTCATGATGACTTCCTACAAACAAAACTGATAGATTCAGTTTATAATCTTTCTGTGACACACACCCTGCAGCCCAACTAGTGAATGTTTTAAGTGTCATGTACAGATGGATGCAAATGTAGGAGTGCTGTGCAGTTAGCTATTTGAAGTGCGTTATGTTGAACTTGGTAATTTTGACTGACTTGTCTCATTTCAGCCATACTTTCAGAAGACAAAAACTCCAGTGAGCCTACATGGAAGAATAAAAATTCTATATCTACTCTAAGCACTCCGGAGCCAGCAATGATGCATGAACCCTTAGTTGGCAGCCAGAAGAGGAAAGCAAGGAAAACTAAGATCACCCATCTGGTTCGAACAGCAGACGGTCGGGTTTCACCAGCAGGAGGGGTGCTAGGTAAGAAATTAAATGTTTTTAATTATGCAAAATACAGGTTGTTGTGGATGGGGCTGGGATGTAGCAAGCTACTTAGAAAAGCTTCCAACTGAGACTGGTCGTAAGTGTTCAGTGGAAAGACAGTTATGTAAAAATGCAAATACCATCCATGTTGTATTTCCAGGGAAATTGTTAAACTCAAAATAGGCGTTTTTCTGTTGGATGAAAATCTTACGATGCTTAAAAAAATTGTAAGTCTTTCTCAGTGTTTTTGTATGAGAGACAGAGGATGTGAGAAAACAGTTATCTTTTAAAATGTAATTGCTTCTAGGCCAGTAAAGAAATAATCCTTTACTTATAAAGCAGGTACAGTTAGAGGACAAAAAATTGGGCTCTGAAACATAATCACTAGGTAAATCAGGCTCCCTTAATAGGTTATCAGTAGTAGGGCTATAACTTAGGACCTTTTCATCTAGAAGTAAGAGTTTCTGTTGTCCAAGGTAAAAGACTGATTTCTGTTAGCCAGGTATAGACTTGTGAGCCTCCAGCCGTTACCGGGGTCAGAGAACAACACTGATTAAACTGGGATAGACATAGGAAGTGTAGGAAGTCTCAACTAATGGTAAAGCTCCTAATAAAGTGCTGCTCCAGGTATAGTTGCAGCTGCTCAAAACTTTGCTGACTTAAGCCACTTGTACATGTGACAAGGGTTGATTTTTAACTAAATTAAAAACCCAGTGTTTCAATTTAGGGGCTTCTGTCACTGTTACAACAAGGGGCTTGATCCTTTTTTTTCCCATGGAGCCTGCCCTCAGCTGGGGGGCAAGCTGCCAGCAGGCCAAGGGACACCTGAGCTGCAGGCAACCCTGGTCCTTTCCTCTGTGGCAGCGGTGCTGCTAGTGTACAGAGCTGAACAGAAATATTCATACTGAAAACAGCTCGGGGAACAGTTGGGTTGGGCTGGGTGCTGCCTCTGAGCTGGTCCACTAGCCACCCACTCAGGGGCCGCAGTTGTGGCAGAGCGAAGGGCCAGGCTTGCCCCCTGGCCACAGGAGACACAAGCATGGGCCCAATGCCTTTTTTTCCCACAGAGCCTGCTCACCTCTCCATAGCTGGTGGGGGGTGAACTGCCAGAGGGCCCTGAGCTGCAGAGGGCCCCAGTCTTTCTCTCTACAGTGGCTGTGCCTCCCAGGGATGCCTGGGCAAGCAGCTAACAGGCGGGTGCTGCCCCAGCTCGGAAGCAGCACCCAACCTGATCAGCTGAGGCAGTCCCCACCCACTAGGAGCCCACCTGGGCATCCTCAGGAAGCACCACACTGCTGCAGGGAGAAGGACCAGGGGCCGTTTGGCTTGCCAGCAGCTTGTCCCCCTGACATAGGAGATTTGGGCAGACTCCACGGGGGAAAAAAAGGGATCTGGCGCCTCACCACTTCTCCCACTGGGCGGGAGAGAGAACTGTCAAAAGGCTGAAAAGTTACAAATAGCTACATTGCAAACTAAAATACATGCGGCTTGGTTTAGTTTGCAATGCAACAAACTCCTTTAGATCACAAAAAAAAACCCATACGTTTACAGCGTGATGCATTTAAACCACAAAAATGGGCAATTTTTGTCACGGGTACAAGAGCCCTTGCTTTCTTGCCTTTTTTACCTGTTTACTTTCTCTTATTGCAGAAGAAAAACCAAAGGAGCTACTACAGGGTAGTCTCCAGAAGGTGTCAAGTGTAGAGACGGATTGCAACAGTGAATGCTCGAGAAACGCAGAAGCAAAAGAAACTCATAGTATTACACAGGACATGCCAGCTGTGTCTGCATTCTTTAGTCTTGCTGCTCTGGCAGAAGTAGCAGCAATGGAAAACGTACACAGGTCAGTATAAGTGGCATTCCCTCATTTATCTAAAAAGATTCTACATTGTAGCCTTCTTGAACTTGAACTGCACAACATCAGAATTAAATGACATTGTTTCTTTCCAGAGTTCTTTCTGATCAAGTGAGTGGTAGTACTGGCTTAGTAGGTTTAAGTGTACATTGGCTTTATTTATCAGTTATCTTTTATAATAAAGTCAGTAAAATGATGCTGCCTGTTAAAGATACCTACTAATTCTATTGTTTAGCCTAATTACAGAGTTCTTTTCAGTCCCACTGATAAAGTTTCTAAAAGACTGGTTTTTCAAATCTATCATCTCAGAGTGAAGCAGGTTTAAACAGTCATAGTATGGAGAGACTGCGCATCTCTGGGATTTGAGGGAGAGAGGGAAGTAGGTAGACAGACAGGCAGACAAAACTTTGAAGGCCGAATCTGGATGAACTCTGCATTTTTTTTTTCTTTAAACTCTCATGCTGTTGCTCTATAGGAGGTAAAACATCTGCAACATCTCATATGGCCGAAGCATTCTAGGAAAGCTTGCTAAGTCTTGGTTGCTGCTTTTGCTCCCAGAGTAAACTGTTCACAGTATCCTTCAGATCTTCTCATGCTGTGTGCTCCTACATTTCAGAGCAATGCTGCGAGGGAACATAGCCAGCCAGCAGTGAGGTCTTTTTTGTTGTAGTTGCTTCAGGTTACTATCTGAGGTAAGCTCAGGTCCTTCCTGGCAGCAGCTGGCAGTCAGTGAAGAAACACTGGGTTTGTTTGAGAATGCTATTACCTCCCTTCATGTGAGGTTGAGAGACAGACTGCTTAAGGACTTCTTGTTGAGGCAAAAGCTCAAGAAACCACTTCACCATGTTGACAGCCTCACTGACTCTTGACCTTTGTAGCCAAGCCACGATTCTGCTTCTCAGTAAAAATGACTTGAATATTCAGAGCTGTTTGTGAGCCATTGCAGCCACACAAACGAAACATTAGGTAAAGCCTTTTCAGAATCACAGCTCCCTTCTGCAGAAGCCATTTGCTTTTTAAAAGACTGTTTTGGAAGAGAAATGCTTTCATACCGTTTTCAGTGTAGCCTGCCTTCTGATGCTTGCACAAAAACATACGGGTAAGAATTAGAGCAAAGTTGTGAACCCACATCTTCCTCATCTGGTCACCAGATTATATATATAATTTCACATATGTAATATCAGGGACCATGACCTAGAGAAGTGTGGCGCCTTATTCTGTTCTTTATTACACCCCCCAAGTGACACACCATCCCTGTCCCTGCCCAATTTTTTGCTCTGCTTTTTGCTCTCAGCTCTGTGCTCCTGACCTCGTTTTCTGCTCTGCTTTCTGCCACTGTGCTGCCTACCCCCTTTCCAATCTCCCCCATGCCCCACACAGGTTACTGTCTAGTGCCTATGCCACTTGCGGCACCTGTGCTACAGGTTGGCCACCTCTGGTCTAGACAGTATCACCAGTTTCAATTTAATATATGGATTTATGCTGGGGGAGGAGGGAGAACAAGAGTTTGCTTTAGCTTGTTCATTCTCCTCATTTCTCCTTGTTCTCAAGCCCTTTTTTCTCCTGTTGCAGTTCCTGTCTGAAACAAATTTGGGAGCCTCTCTCTTTTGGCAGTTTTCCAAATACAAACCCAATTTATTTCACCTTTCCTTCCAGTAGTAGTAGCAAAACATCTCTTGCCCATGGTTTCAAGAATACACAGGCACATGTCCAGCTACACGTGCAAACTTGAATTTCCAGTCACGTATCCAAACCAAGGCCTCAGGACTCCTTCCGAATACAGTCTTGGCAAATATCTCTTGCAGAGCCAAAAAAAAAAGTCAAAACATAAATTTGAATCTGATGTCCCTAACTTAGTCTTCATGGTGCCCTGCCAATATCAGCTGCTGTTACTTTGTCCTACAGATAAACGCAGTGTGAGAAGGTTGCTCTGTTTAGCTTGCTTTGTTTTGTTGCCTGTATTTAATTATTAATTATTTTTACAGAGCCCCAGGGACTGTGGAAAACAAATGCTGTTCTACTCTCATTAGAGTTTGGCTGAAATCTGCAACCTTGTTTTCAATATGAATATTTCTGTTCAGCTCTAGTTACCCAGAGCATGTCATCGTTAAATGCAATACAAACTGGTTAATTCGTCACTCCAAGGGGATTAGTAATGAAAATTCATCCACGAGTGACTAATTATCAGCAGTTAACGATTTTAACTTTTTGCAGGATGTATTTTTCATGCTACATTGAAATACAGTGGGTGCGTCTACATGTGATGCTGTCGCCATGGTGTCAGTGGTTACAAACCCTGACGCTGAGGTTATGTTGCCCTAGCAACAAGCTACCTCGCTATACTGCGTTGCTACAGCGACATAGCTGCTAAAAATAACTGTGCGCCATCGGGACAGCACAGTAATGGCTGGTACTGCACCATCATTTAGTATTTCCTAAAGCAAGTACTAAATGATATGCACTGGGGGGGGCCTTGTGTAGACGTGTCCAGTAAAAACAAACAAACAAACAAACAAAACTTTCTGACATTTTATCATGAAGGAAAAAATGCGTTACAAAACGTATACCAAGTATGGACATTCCCACTTGCTAGCCGAGAACTGAATAATTATACAGATAAACACATAATGTACAGTTTCTTGCCACAAAAACAGTGATTTTCAGGAAGTGAAATAATCAAAGAGTATTGCTTTGCACTCTCACAGGCATTTACTGCCAGAACAAAACATATTTCTACAGAATGGAATAGTGGATTATCTATGTCTATTTGAGCCAAGAAAAGCTGAAG